CTAACACTCTAACTCAATTGTTTACCAGCAAAACTGTCAATATGTATGTATGAATATCACAAGAGCAGCAGCTTTCTGTGGTTTAAAGCAGGTTTCACCACAATATGCTCTTTGCTATACTTTATGCTATATATATCTTTACATGATAAATTACTGTTATTGGTCTGGGATGGTAAATAGCAATTTTGTGATTGAAATCATTACTATTACATTTTTTTTTCTTGGTAGGAAAACTGAGAAGGCAGACCCTTTAGTCAGGCTTTTCAGATTTTCTGTGTGAGACAAAGCAGATTACTGGTCTCTGGATTTATATTTGGAATGCTATCATGAGTAATAATTTTATCCTACTCTTTTTCCCCCTACATAGATTAATCATGTACCACATAAAATATATGCTTGTATATTACTAAAGATTAGGTAAAGAAAGTATCAAATAGAAATCCCCTGGAAAAATGAATTATGTACCACAGAAAATATATACTTGTATATTATCAAAGAGGAAGAAAGTATCAATCAAAATCCCGTGAAATAAATGAATTTCACATTTAATGTCTATATCTGCTACATAGTTAGACAGTTCATACCTTGATGAAATCTCTTTCCTACTAACATATGAAGGAAGATCACTGAAGATAAAATGGCTTGAATAAAAAAAAAATCAGCTGTCTGTAATTAGAAAGGATGCAAATAATCAGTCTTCCTTGTAAAAGACATCCAGAATGTCTTTGCATCTTTGCAAAAATGTGATTAGTTTATAAAATATTATATCCTGCCATTAGGGAGAAAGGAGCAATTTATGAAATAAAGTTCTTGATTGCTCATATGGGGATATGTTTGCCTATTTTGAGCGTGCACATAATTTGTGTAGCCAATTACTCAGTTATAATTTCAGTAGAAAAAAAATCTCCCCCAATATTTTGTAATATGAAGACAGCAAAAAAAGACAGGAGAGGTTGTTATAATTATAATCCAGTGATGATTGAAATTAACTTTTAAAGTTTAAGAACAAGGAATGTGGCAAATGATCTAGATTTTCTACTAATTTAGTATTCATCCTCTCAATGCATGCTACTATTACTACATAATATAGTACTTGGATATAAGTATGGGCAGATCACTTTGGGGGGGGGGAAATCACCTCAGGGCCAGATGCAATGCAGCATGTGACAACTATTGTGTATCTAGATGTTCTGTCCAAGAAACTGCATATTATGCCTCACCATCCTCCCCCCACCAACTTGTGCTTCCTAATACTATTTATATTAAAGGCCACCATCAGTAAGCTGTTGGACAGTATTATTTGGTCTGTTGTATGGATGTTTAGGTGGTTTAGCGGTGGAGAGCTGTGGTGGGTGGGAGTGTGTTTGGGGCAGGGATGAAATGCTCCCAGTTCGGACCGGCTCAGGCAAGTAGGTAGCGATGGCAGCGGGCAGTTCAGAGAACCGGTAGCAAAAATCCCTGCCCCCCCCCATGCCCAGCTCAGCCACACGATCATCAGAGCCTTTTTTTTTTCTTTTAAATGGGTCTGATGATCCCAGCTGAGTTGCCTGCTAATCAGGCAACTCAGCTTGGATCGTCAGACCCATTTATAAGAAAAAAAGTTTTTTTCTTTTAAATAGCTTTGACGATCCAAGCTCTGACGATCTCAGCTGAGTTGCCTGCTAATTGGTAGCAAAAATCCCTCCCTCTCCCCCCCTCAGCTTGCTTACCTTAGCTGCTGGTCCCAACGCCTTGCTGTAATTCCTGCAAGCCATTGCATCAGTAAGCAACTGAATCTCCCTGCCTGCAATCAAGCAGGCAGAGACTTGTGGACTTCAACTCCCAGAATTCCTCAGCCAGCAAAGCTAAGCTGGCTGAGGAATGCTGGGAGTTGAAATCTACAAGTCTTAAGGTTGCCAAGGTTGGAGACCCCTGTTCTATTGGGTAAGTTTTTTTCCCCCTTTGGGAGCTTTAAAAAATAGTTAATTGGGTTTTTTTTAGTTGTTCTTTTTTTAGACTTAGCCATTTAAAGTTTAGAAAGTTTTAAATTTAGCTGCTTTTATATAAAAATAAAAATAAATAAAAATAAATAATATTTGTGCAGCTTTCTGAGATTTAGTGTGTTTCTGTAGTGTTTCACTCTAACTACACAAACACACAAAATCTCACAAAGCTGTATGTGGAATTTTGTCCGTGTAAAGTTGTTTTTTGGGGCTTTTTGAGGTTCCTGCTTGTTTCAGGGGCCATTTTGGGTCTAGCACAGCTGCTTTTACATTGTGGGTGAGCCAGTTGTGTTGTGTTGTGTTGTGTGTGTGTAAAGTGTGAAAGTTGTTTTTTTGGGGGGGGGTTGTGCTGTGTGAGGTTCCTGCTTGTTGTAGGAGCCATTTGGGGTCTAACACAGCTGCTTTTATATTATGGGTGAGCCAGTTGTGTTGTATTGTGTTTTGTAGGTTAAAAAAGGCAAAGAAGTGACATTGACTTGGCCACGCCCACCTGACCACCAAGCCACACCCACTAATTAAGCCATGCCCACAGAACCGGTAGCAAAAAAAATTAGATTTCACCCCTGGTTTGGGGATTGTTATGTGTGTTGGACCTGGTCTTTGGGTGTTAAGTGAATTTCATTGTGTGGATATACTGTGTATGCACGTACGATGACAATAAAGTTATTTATTATTTATTATAGAGAGGATTAAAGCTGTTTGAGATGCAAGTGATGAAACTTAATTGAAAAAAGAGTGCAGTAACATTAATCTTCTTGGAGGAGGTTTACAAAATTAACAAAAAATAGTAGGGTGGTACAGTTCTATTCAGATTCATTTGTAGCTTTAAATGTTTCTAATCATATTCAGCTAATTTCCCTTGATTTAAAATAGATATAAAATAGCCAAAATCTATTTTTCTTCACCACATTCTTCAAAATAAATAGATTAGTATTCCAAAATTGAGAGAAGTGAAGGATATAAGGCCTAATTATGCTCCAATCCTTATGTTGATTTGAGGTTATTCAGTTTGCTTTAAGCGATGGATCAAAATAAATTTCCCTGCCTTCAAGTAAGGTAAAGTGAAGGAAATGTTAAACATTAGTTACTCTTGAATTCAAACTTTAATAAATGCCCAATAAATATCTATTTCTTGATATTTTATGTACTAGTCATTTAACCTGTTGCTACATTATTTCCATTTTTTAATTATTTTTATGCAGTTTTGTTTTTTTTTTTTTGCTTCTGAAAGCTGTTGACTGAAAGCTGGTTTGAGATGTATATACAAATGGAATATATAAAGAAAAAAATAAAGAAAAAAGAAAAATAGAAATGGAAGAAAAAATTACATAGAGGTAGCTTCTGGTGATCTTTACAGCTAATATAAGTACAACATAAAATTTACTTCTTACTCTATATTTATAAGTTAATTATCTTCAGTCTATAACAGGGCTGTCAAGAGGAAAGAAGAGAAGAGGAAAAAAGACCCGATATGTCACATGATGTCGCCATGACCACTTGAGTTTGACAACCCTGGTCTATAATCTACCCTGTCCAATCATAAAAATCATGAATCATAAATTCATTTTTTTTCTGATATATGCAAAATTTATAAGGGGATTCTAATCAGAAATAAAAATGCAAGAGTTGGGTTACCCATGGGTTGGGTAAATACTGCATGGGTTGTGAGAGGGGATAGCATTTTACCCATACAGCTTCCCATGCAGCACTTCTTGCACACCCCAATGCACAATTGCAAACTCATGCCTGATTGCATCTCTTTTCTCCTTTTCCCACAAGTCAAATGCTACTTACAATCCTGCTTGTTTTCCACTGAAGCTTCTCCTGCAAGCTTCCCTCAAATAAATAAATGGGGAAACTGGCAGAAAAGGGAAGGGGAGGGAGGGAGGGAGGGAGGGAGGGAGGGAGGAAGGAAGGAAGGAAGGAAGGAAGGAAGGAAGGAAGGAAGGAAGGAGGGTGGGATGACTCCCCCAGACACTTCCCCATATGCCTCTCTGGATGTTAGTTTGGAGGACGATGAGCTGATCCCAGGAATGTCAGGAGGCAAGGGAGCCAGTGGCTCTAAGGCTGAGGCTGTGATCTGAGTAAGGTAGAGCAGCTGCAAGGAAAGCAACTGGATAAGCAGCTGGCTGAGAGTGGCTATTTAGCACAATGGAAGGAGGGGAACAATGCTGGGAACAATGTGTCAGTTTCCTGGCTGTGTGCGCTCCTGAACTTGTGATTCTTATCTTGGATTTCGGATAGTGTTTCATGGACTTCAGACTTGTCTATGACTCATATATTTACTTTGACTTTGTACACTTGGCTTTGCTTCTTGGACTTATCTTTGTCTTTGAACTTCCCTTGGATTTGGGGACTTGTCTTGGTTTCATGGACTTGTCTTGCTTTGAACTTTGCAGGTGTTCTTTTGTTGGTGAAGGGAATTTCTGGTGAATTTTAATTCAGAGTTGGAATCTTCAATAAAGACTTCTAACTCCTAAATATGTAGGTGAGTGTGAGCAGGACATCACAGAATATTTCTGAGGTTACCTTCCAACTTTCCACAAAGAAATTCAATGGGGAAGCCAGCAGATAGTCAGAAGTCCCTTCTGTTCCCACTGCTTTTTTGCCCACACATGATTATTCTGATTCTCTATTAAGATATAGAAATATTATGAAATGATGACCCAATGGAGCATGGAATTGTGAAGCCTATTTAAATTTTTGTACATTGAATACTTTTTAAGCATTTTTGACAAATGTTTTAAAATCTTTGATCTTTTTTCTTTATGTTTTTTTTAATTCAGAAAAAAAATAATCAAGTGAAATTGTTATCCTCAGAAAACCTCTCTTTTGTTGTAGGTTAGTTTATCTAAAAGTGGCTCGTTAAGAAATGAGGCTTTTGAGAATCTTATCTTCCTTAAAAATTTCAAATAACTAAAAGAGCTTATTTGAAAAAAAATAGAAGCTTGGGAAATGATAGAAGGTCCATTTTTGATACTGAAACATCATAGCTGCAATATCTTTCCAAAATTTCCATTACACAAAAATAGGTTGTTGTTTTCTCCACATTTTCTTCATTGTTAGTTTAACCTCCTGATTTCTCAGTGTATAAATAAGTGGGTTTAAAACTGGGGTAATTGCACTATATATGAGGGTTATTATCATATCCTGTTTTGATGAATTACCCACAGTGGGAATCATATAATTAAATAATACAGGAACATAAAGTAAAGCCACCACAGTTAGATGGGATCCACAGGTAGAGAAGGCTTTTTGCCAACCACTTCGGGTCTTAACCTTTACAAGAAGAAAAGTAATAATATAGAGGTAGGAAAGGATTATGAAAATAAAAGGACCCATAACAATACAAGTGGTCACAATACTGAGGAGCATAAGATTGAGGTATGTGCTACCACAGGCCAGTTTCAACAAAGGCTTGATGTCACAGAAAAAGTGTTCGATGTGATTTGATCCACAAAAGGGGAGGTGAGCAGTCACCATTGCATGCATCAAAGCATGGAAAAATCCAGTGCACCAGGCAGCTGTTGCCATTAGGAGACAAACCTCTTTTCTCATGATGACCGTGTACCGCAGAGGATTGCATATTGCAACATAGCGGTCATAAGCCATGATTCCAAGCAGAATGACTTCGCTACTTCCCAAGAAATGGAAAAAGTGCAGCTGGACCATGCAGCCCTTGAAGGATATTGTGTGCAGCTTTGAAAGAAATCCAGCTAGCATATTTGGTACAGTGACTGTTGAAAAGAAAATATCAAGGCAGGAAAGGTTTCCAAGAAAAAAATACATGGGAGTGTGAAGGTGTGGTACAGATAAAAGTATAACAATAATAGCACCATTCCACACTAATGTAGCCAGATACAAAAGCAGGAAGATTGTAAATAGAAGATACTGAAAATTGGAGTGACTGGTCAAACCCATTAAGATGAATTTGTTTTCTTCTGTTTGGTTTTCCATCACTAAAAAAGAAAGGAAACAACAGCAAAAAATGAGATGTTAACTACAGATAAATATTTATGGAGCATTAAATCTCAGTTATTTTAACTCCATCCCATTTCTGAGCATTACAGTGACAAAATAGTAGGACACAGATATGTAGATAAAGACAAATACAACTTTGCTGATGCTGCCACAATGACAGATCTACAATGGCAAAAATGATAGAGTCATCCTAAACATGTATTTAAAAACTATGTGTTTGCCTCTGCCACTTTGCAGAAATAGTAGAATGATTTTGGTGACTATGGAAGGAGAAAACAGCTCTCTTCAACTCAATACTTTTAATTTATACTCCTGGTTTTTGTTATCTTTAGATTAAAGTCTTCTAGGTTTCCAGATTCTGAAATTATTTATTAATTGAGATGTGACTTTAGTGTTCATTAGTGGCTCTTTGCTTTTTTTTTGTTCAATCATCCATTTTTTTATCCTAGCAAGATGCTATTCTGCTGATAAAAATAAATCAGTCAGAAACATTATCAGCAGACATTGGGGAAAAAACCCACCTTCTTAAAGAACCAAAAACAACAACAATAACAACAACAACAACAACAACAACAACATGGAAATGTTGAGAATTTATTTAGACATCATGAAAGGCTAGAGATTAATTACAAGATGATACAGATTTTGAACCTGTCATACAGGATTATGCCATATAATTTTGTTGGCATGTAATGAAAGCTGCCAGTTGTTAATCCCATTTCCATGCTTCTTTTTCCCAGAGCCCTCCTGAGTTACAGTATTTTAAATATCCCACTTTAATATGCAATACCTGACACCATCTTCCTCCTACAATAATGGTTTCATATCACAATTGAAACTAACCCACCATCAGTTCCTTGTCTGTATGACTGAATATCTAAAAAGGTGGCAAACTACTATTGCTGAGAGTAGACTCACTGAAGGTGTGCCATGCTATTTGCTTTACAACATAGATTTTTACATTATGGAGAAAATAGGAAGAGGAAGGAGTATTAGGTATGTCTACTGCCTTGAATTATTTATAAAAATAAATAATCCCATTGAATATTTCTGTATTATAACATTCCAAAGAGGTGGGAAATCAATAAATCAATCAATAAGTAAATAAATAAATAAAATGCTTGCTACACAATATTTCATTTTTTAAAGACAACAATCAGAACTGGTGAATAAAATCTCTGCAGAACTTTTCAAAATATATCCATTTTTTTGTCCTGGCAATGCCTTTGTCTATCAAGAAAGCTGAGAAGGCTATCAAAAATTCTTCAAAAATTCTGTGTTGTCAAAACAATAATTATATCATACAGCTACTACCATACCACCTGGATTAATATATGTTAGGTCTTCACATATCATGAAAAATATTTGCTTATCTTCTTTTGTTGTTCTTGTTCTGTTGTTTAGGCATATTTATCATATATTTGCCTGCCTCAAAAATAGGTACCTGTATATTATTTTGAAGGGCAAAAGAATTTGTCAAACATACAGTATGTTCTGAGTAACATTTTAAGTCTAAGTTAAATATCTAGTTAATTCATACCTTAATAAGACATTTTTCCCACTAAATATGAGGAAATTATAATTGAAGATAAATTTGCCCAAGAGTCAAAGAAAACAACAGGGTGTAATCAGAAGGGATGCAAATAATCAACCTTATAGAAAGTATCTTGAATGATTTTCACCTTTGCAAAATATGTTTGCCTTATAAAACTTCATTTCTTGCCATTAGGGAAAAAAAGTAACCACCTAATGAACCAATCATATTTGATTGGTTGTGAGGGAATACATTTCTTGAATTTAATTATGCATATAATTTGTGTAGCCAATTATTCAACAATAATTTCAATGGATAAATTTATTATTTCTCCAGGTGTTAAAATGAATCTCTTTTTATTTTCAACAAAAACATACAGGAAATATACAAGTATAAACCAACAATGCTTGAAAGTATCATTTGATATAGTAATAAGGACTAGGGATGCATGAAATAATCTGTGTATAGGTGAAGGCAAGAACCACAGACATCAAATTCAGACAATGACTTAGAGGAGTCAATGTGGTTCTAGCCAAGAGTTCAAAAGACAAGAATCCCCCTGAGTAATTCTGTATTATAACATTCTAAAGAGGTTTTCTTGTTATCTCTGCCGATAGACAGAACATGGAATATTCTTGCACATACCACTTTAAGAACAAAAGATGCCATAGGTTGATACATGAAAGCCACATCAGAATATGGCATCAACCTCCTTCTCTCCCTCAAGAGTTGTTGTCTGAAGTAGGTAAGACTATGTCTACATCAGTATGGGATTATATTATATTGTATTATATTATACTGAGTCGCTCCAGAGTGGGATGGGTGGCAAACAAACAAACAAACAAACTCAAGGCTTAAAATTTATATGGTGGCATTTTTGTATCAAGGCTTAAGGAATTAAAATGCTCTAAAATATTGCTTTAAAATGTCAATCAACTGTTCCCTGTCTTTTCAAGTGAATACAATCTCAGACATGCCCCATGAAGCAGTTTGCTATATTTCATAAGCAATTTGGAGACCTCCTAGATTGATGGGGCTCCATCCCTCCAGATCCCAAATAGCAATGGTTGCACATATTAATACCTATGTAGAAACACTTGTCACCTAATTTCTGAAATTCCAGAATTTAGTTCTTCTAAAAAGAACTAAGAAAAATGTACATAGCCCTTTTTTGGGACTCCACCATAGTACTTTATTCACCATAAGGTATTGGGGTTTTAAATCATCCTGAGGATCTTCATTTTCTCTTTTACTTTTGAAAGAACCTCTATTATGCAGTCTTGAGAAAGTTTATTGAAGCTACAGATGTACAGTATATCAGAATCATCAATATTCTGTTTGGAGTATTTTTTAAGTAATGTAGGAAATAAAAAATAGTTATAATATAAAATTCTACTTCATTTCATTTTCATTTTCATTTATTGGATTTATATACCGCTCTATTCCCGAAGGACTCAGGGCAGTGAACAGCCACAGAATAAAACACATAAATACAAAATCTAAAAACAGAATAAAACCGAATTAAACAATTTGGCCAAGACAAATTTAAAACACCCAATAATTTTAAAAACAAATTAAAATTTACATTTTAAAGGGGAAAGATTTAGGCCAGGCCGGCTTGATGGAATAAAAAAGTCTTTTGAGCGCGACAGAAGGTGCGCAGATCCGGGATCCTCCATATCTCCGGAGGGAGCTCATTCCAGATAGTAGGTGCCCCCACAGAGAAGGCTCTCCTCCTGGGGGCCGCCAGTCGACATTGTTTGGCCAATGGCACCCGGAGGAGCCCCTCTCTATGAGAGCGTACCGGCCGGTGGGAGGCTATTGGTGGTAGCAGGCGGTCCCATAAATAACCAGGTCCTAAGCCATGGAGCACTCTAAAGGTGATAACCAAAACCTTGAAGTGCACCCGGAAGACCACCAGGAGCCAGTGCAGCTCGCGCAGGAGAGGTGTTACATGGGAACGCCACATTGCTCCCATAATCACCCACGCGGCCACACTCTGCACCAGTTGGAGCCTCCAAGTGCTCCTCAAGGTGAGCCCCATGTAGAGAGTGTTGCAATAGTCCAGGCGGGAGGTGACAAGGGCATGAGTGACTGTGTGTAAGGAGTCTCGATCTAGAAAGGGATGCAACTGGTGAATCAGGCGGACCTGATGAAAAATCCTCCCAGTCATGGCCATCAAATGCTCTTCTAAAGACAGCCATGAATCCAGGAGGATGCCCAAGTTGCAAGCCCTCTCCGTGTGGGCCAGCGATTCGCCCCCAATAGTCAGTGATGGTGCCAACTGACTAGATCGGGACGTTGGAAACCACAGCCACTCGATCTTGGATGGGTGGAGCCTGAGCCTGTTTCTCCCCATCCAGATCTGCACGGCCTCCACTTCAAAGGCATCGTTGGGGTGGTCCGGGGTGGAGATGTACAGCTGAGTGTTGTCAGTGTACTGGTGGTACTTCACCCGAAACCACGGATGATCTCGCCCAGCGGCTTTACATAAATGTTGAACAAAAGGGGCAAGAGGACCAATCCTTGTGGCACCCCACATATGAGGGGCCTCGGGATCAACCTCTGCCCCCCTGCCAACACAGACTGCGACCAGTCAGAGAGAAAGGAGGAGAACCACCATAGTACGGTGCTTCTCACCCCCAACTCTTCCAACTGGTGCAGCATGATACCATGGTCGATGATATCAAAAGCTGCTGAAAGATCTATTAGGACCAGGACAGAGGAACAACCCCTGTCCTGAGCCCTCCAGAGATCATCAACCAACGCGACCAATGCCGTTTCCATGCTGTACCCAGGCCTGAAGCCCAACTGGAATGGATCCAGATATGTCATTTCATCCAGGTGCTGGGGGAGCTGTCACGCAACCAAACTCTCAACAACCTTCGCCACGAAGCGAAGGTTGGAGACCGGACAATAATTAGCCAATACAGCCAGATCCAGGGAAGGCTTCTTGAGGACAGGCCTCACCTCTGCCTCTTTCAGGGTGGCGGGGAAGACACCCTTGCCCAACGAAGCATTTATAATCCCCTGGAGCCAGCCTTGCATCATCTCCCAGCCATCTGAGGAACAGTGGCCTCCCTTGGCCTAAGGCCTTCTCTAATAATAACCGCTATTCCCCCACCCCTTCCCTGTGACCTCAGCTGAGGGAATGCGTGGAAGCCTGGTGGGCACATTTCTCCAAGAGGGACCCCTCCCTCTGGGCCCACCGAGGTCTCCGTAATACCTGCCAGGTCTGCTCCCCCCTCCTGAACAAGATCACAGATGAGAGGGGCTTTATTTACTACAGACCTGGCATTGCACAACCTCAGCCAAAGGCCTGGGCCCTGAGGGTCTGTGCAACCTGGAGAACGAGTGGAGCCTTGGGGGCCGGAGCATGCCACCACTCGTAGATAGTGGGCACATACTCCCTTAACATGATATAGCCCCCTGCTCCCGCCAT